TTGATAAATCTGGTCTATGTGCGCGGATCTCACAAACAGGGCACCATATATGTAGGGTAGCTACTTATATGTAGGGTAATAATACTACAGATTATGTTATGAGAAGAATAGTGCGGCTAGCCTCACAATCAGAGTCTGGCCGTCCTATTCGAGTGGGGGATCTGTCTTATTTATTTTGGGCACCAGTAGACGTTTTGAGGGTCTACGACAGATCCAAACCAACTTTTCCTCGAGTCAGTCTTATAAATCTAAAAGGTAGTTAATTCGTAAATCGGCCAGGGATATACCGAGATCTAACAACGCGACTCTGATGGGGTTGAGTTAAAGAAAAGGAGTTTATTGATTACAAAAATGAGGGTAAAAATATAACGAAAGGGGATTTCTGGTCACATTAAAGCAGAAGTGGCATACATTTCATTCAAATCACACATTTACCAAGAACAGTCTTACTTTGGAGGAGCGTAGAGGATGGAGAAAGGATTTGGGTTGGGAATCAGCCCACGTGGTTTCTTTGTCTGGCAGGCGGGAGGTACAAAGCCAGCGAGTTTGGTCCAGCTGCTGGTCCACGCGTATGCAGCTCAGTCCGGAATGGGCTGCACGCGTATAGTCCAGAGCCAAGGAAAGAGGCTGGTGGTGGAACAGTTCATAAGGTCCCGAGCCAGAGGAGAGTATGTTTGGCGGAGTAGAAGGCCCGATGCGTGCTGGCGCGACCGTAGTAGGAGACACGTGCCGCGGGACGCCGATGGCCAGGGAGAGCTGGAATAGTGATTTCAGGATGGGACAAGAGGACGTTCTATGGCATTGTTCGTGTTTATATTGACTTCCCAAGGGGGGCGTGTCCATGCCGCCCCTGCCCTCTGTGGACAAACCCCTTTACAACAGACAGTTTGTAAAGGAAACACACAGGATTGATGCAAATAATCATAAGACATGTACAAACACACACCGTATTTCATTACTTTGACATTGATACACACATATGGGGCACAATGCAGATTATTGGAGTACTGGACCCAGGGGTGCCGGTTCGCAATTGTCCGTCCCGGGTGTGATAGTGTCCATTGTTCACAAGGGGGCGTCAGAGCGCCGCGGGGGAGTCTTTGATTGTCCGGTGGCAGGAGTCCTGGGAGCGAGAGCAGGGTTGTGATCTTTGATCTCTACAGGCAGGCAGAGACAGAGGTGCTTATCCCCGTGGTGACTTTATTGCTCTTTTTGGCATCTGTAATCCCCATGATCAATGATAGTCCTCCGGCCGACCTCGCTGTTCCTTTGAAGCTGCAGTGGGACGTCTTCCTCCTCTTGGTCGAATGTGTACACAATACAGGGCCTGGCTCTGTTTTACGGCCCTGTCCCTTATTTAACCTTGCATACTGTACTTGTAACGTTCCTCCATCACTTCAGGCGGATAGTCCTCGTAGATGGCGATAGGATGGTCCCGGTACTTCAGCTTTCCTCTTCTAGCCCGTGCTTCACGGACGATCGTTTCTTTTACTCGATGTTTGTGTAGGCAAATGATCACCGGTCTCGGCCAGCACTGATTCGCTAAACACTTCCAATAAAAGTTCTGAGAAGAAAGCAGCTGGTCGGGGCCCTTCCGTTTGTTCTGGGAGGCCTACAATTCGAATGTTATTAGGGCGGCTGCGAGATTCTAAATCCATCACTTTAGCCCGGAGTTTAGCATTACTGTCCGTTAGCATAACACAGGTGTTTTCAAGCTTTAGCATGCGCTCCTCATTGTCGTTCGCATTCTCTTCGAGTGCAGGTATTTTTGTGCTGTGTTCAGCCACTTTACCTTGAATGTGGCCCATTTTATCATCGAGCTTAGAGATAGCGGTCTTAAACTTGCTGGAGAGAGTGCTTCGATGTTAGTGGTGGGTTTTATCGCGTCCGCGTTGTTCTCGATTTTCTTTTGCTTACTCCCTCTTGTCGTCATAATGCCTCAGCCGTACATAAGACGTTGCCTCATAGAAAAAAAACAATAATAATAATCTTGAAGTGCCGTTGGTATCTCTTAATTAAGATATGTTGCTGCAGGAGTGAGACCGAACCATGTCTACTCCTCCATTGACCCGGACTCCTATATGTTTGTTATAATTTGTACAGTCCTCAGAGATGTGACTGCTGTTGTGATTTAGGGCTTCACACAAATATTTTGAATTGAATTACAAGATTCCAATGGACTGTTTGCTTTTGTTCTGAGAATAAAAACCCATTATGTGAAGAGATTTTAACTATTGAGCAACATCCTCTTCACTGAAACATGTTTAGTATTTTTTGTTATGGTCATCTTCTGAGTCTAGTACGTATGTTTAATATGGTCTAGTCTTTATCTCATGCTGTCTATGAAAGTTACACAATGTCTGACCTATCGTCAATGTCAGACCTTGAATTATTATAATAATACATGCATTATTGGAGAGAAAGACCAGAGAGACCAGAGCAGGGGTCTCCAACCTTTTTTAATCAGAGAGCTACTTTTATACAAACAAACAGGCAGAGAGCTACTCACTTTTGCACTCATAATGAAAATGGATCTAATAATTACGACTAAACTTGGAGAACACATATAAAATACACCATATTACTGTATAACCCTATATTTATACTTATAATAGATATGTAATGGGTCAAAAAGTATTCGTTTAAGTGTATTTGTTAAAGTCTAATTTCTTTGGCGAGCTACCTGTAAGGGGCTGGCGAGCTACTGGTGGCTCCCGAGCTACAGGTTGGAGACCCCTGGACTAGAGAGAGAGAACTGACAGAGACCAGAGAGAGACAGAGACCAGACAGAGAGGGATCAGAGAGAGAGACTAGAGAGAGAAATTAACTTATAATTTTTATCTGATGAGTTGGATTGATACCACGATGCAGGCTTGCATCTACTTTTGTTCATTCGGGGTAATAGTTTAACTTTCTTCTGTCCCCCAACTCTCTTTCCAGTCTCTCTCTGGGCTCTTTCTAGTCTCTCTCTGGCCTCTCTTTGGTCGCTGTCCCTGGTCTCTCTCTCGGAACCCTGTCTTGGGTCCCTCCCCCAGGTCTCCAGTACATCTCTGGTCTCTCTCTCTCAATTCTTTCCCTGTTGCCTCTTTCTAGTCTTTCTCTTTCTAGTCTCTCTCTTTCTAGTCCCTGTCTGGTCTGTCTCTCTGCACTCCTTCCAGTATCTTTCATCTGAAGTTCCTATTTACGGACCTCCAAAACACCAGCCTTGTATGAATTCTTTGCTAAAGTTGCTCTCTTAGCTTCAGTTGTGTGTGCCAAACATCTATTAACATCCACAGAAGTTTATAAGAACAGGTTACATGTGGATAAAACAGTTCTGTGTGTTTTTATGAGCACATAGAGAGGTCTGAGAGTGGAATTTGGAGGTGCGCAGTCCATAATACGGAGCAGACGAGAGGACTGTGTGATTGTGCCCAGGGACAGTGCTTTTATCAAGCCTCCTTTTGCTTCAGGAAGATGTGCTAATGTGTTTGTGCAGCCAGGCCACAGATAAGCTCCCGTCTGTCAAGTGTCAGTTTGGCAGATGAATGGTAGAGCCAGGAAAAGTGACGCACCGTAAGCAGAGGGTATCACAAGGTCACGCCAAGCAGCCCAGGAATGAGGCACCGGCGAGAGGAGCCAGGGATCAGCTGTGAGCCTTACTGACCAGCAGTTTGTGCAAACAGGAGCTACGCTGGTCTGAAGAGACTTTCCAACATCAGGTTTCATGATGCAGCTGTTGAAACACATGCAGAAGTGACAATAACAAACACTTAACACTTAAGACACTCTTAACTTTAACTGGTTCTTTGCTTGTATATTAGAAAAGCACATGTGTCAGTGGGTCCTGTCTGTTGCTCCTCTTCAAAACAAAGGAGAAATCAATATTATTACACCAAACTCTCTGGTCTCTCTTTGATCTCTTTCTGGTCTTGCGCTGGTCTATCTTTGATCTCTCTCTAGTCTCTCTCTCTGGTCTCTCTCTTTCTGGTCTCTCGCTGAAATCTCTCTGGTCTCTCTCGCTGGTCTTGCTCTGGTCTCTCTCTCTGGTCTTAGTCTTTTGTGGACTCTCAAAGATGCTTAACATAGCATTCACTCCATACTTAGGGTGGTAAGCTACAGTAGCCACAGCTGACTACTATTCTGCAGAAAAAAATGTGATTAAATGGTGTGGCCATGAGCTTGAGTCCTGACTATAGAACCAGGAAGTACAACCACATTAGTCCTGGTCTCAGGTCTCTACACAGGCTTTCTGTGGTTCAGAGAATAGACGTAAAAGCAGCTCTGCTTGTGCACAAGCCTCTCCATGGCCTTGCACCAAAGTACATCTGAGGATTTATGTGTGGTTGAAGATATATATATTTTTTTTAAAGAACTAATTTGCAAAGATCATTCAAAATAAAATCTTGGTTTGATTTGTCTGTCTGATGGTCTCTCTCTCTGATCTATCTTTCTCTGGTCTCTCCCTCGTCTTTCTCTTTGGTCCCTTTTATGTGTCTCTCTCTCTGATCTTTCTCACTTGTCTCTATATGGACTTCTCTGAACCCTCACTCTGGCCTCTCTCTGGTCTCTATCTTGCCCCTCTCTGATTGTGAATTGTTGTGTTGGTTATTTAAAATAAAATGTTTTGTTTGGTCACTTTTGTGGAGAAGAAGACGACAGAGAACACTGTATTCAGAGCAGACATGATTGCTGTTGCTTGGACCCTTGTTTGATATACACATGTGCGCATGTCACTTAAATAACACAAATAATTCATGTTTGAATATGTCTGTTCATTGACATGCACTGTGCCACTCAAATGATTACAGTCCTATATTGAGACTGAATGCACCATGTGAGCTAACACAGCCCATGGTTTACAACATAAATAAACAGATGAAGAGAATCAACAGTGGAGCACCCACCCAAACAGAATGTGCATCCTGAAGGAGGCTAGGGGCCAGTGTTTATAGCATCCTCATTAAGGAAATAGTGAGATAAGGCTTCTTGCTCATGTGCATCCCACAGTGGAGCTACGTATGCAGCCAATCATGTCCCTGATAAGAACCGAGCACTCTCAGAGCAGTTCCTCTCAGACCCAACACAAGCACATCAGACATGAGTGGAACGGACCACACCACAGCCAGGCCACGCTGTCACCAGAACCACTGCCCGCACGCCCTGCACTTCAAAAGGTGTTCACAAGGATAAATACTGCAGGACACACTCGACCCACTAGTGACCGCCGGTGAGTGGTCAACAGCTTTTCCGAGATACACCAAGTTCGGCCCATTGACGACCTCAGAGGGCGTCAGCTTCAGAGCGAAGACCTCTCTCATGGCGAGCACTTGGGTCTCTGAATCAGGAACCGTCTTCAGCTCTAAGCTTGTACTGCTACTGCTCGTGGCTGTGCTCCTCCAGGGACCTCTGCGCTCTCACGGCAGCCCCATCCTCAGCACCCGTCAGAGGCAGCGGCCGGACCCAGGCCTGGGCGACGGTCATGGAGGGGTGGTGGACCTGTCCAAGCTGGAGCAGGACGGAGCGGTGAACGTGCAGTTACTTGAGAGTCTGAAGGAGCAGTTTTTGAAGACGTTTAACCTGTCTGGACCTCAGTCGTCTGCAGCCGAGGACAGCTCCAGAGAGGAACCCCCTGAGTATATGATGGAGCTCTACAACCGCTTTGCCAACGACCACAACGCCATGCCCACCGCCAACATCATCCGCAGCTTCAAAAATGAAGGTATCCAGACATTCTCAGATATGTCAGTTTCAGCAATCCTGAGAAAGCAAATCCACTGAAAGAGTGCATTGACCTAAAATTGAAATGGTTGTCATATAATTTTCCATGATTATATGACTGGATGTCTTTCTGCTGATGGACACCTGACTTTCTCCTATGGGGACCAATAATGTATCTAAAACTACAGACCAGTTTATACTCAAACTCAAAGTGCTTAACAAAACACGAGAAACATTAAAATCATCCAAGGCATTGTGATCATAGATAATCACAGAACATTAAAAAAAGTGAAGAAACCATCCTCCAGTTGTTACAGCAAAACCGTTTTTAATCTGTATTTGAACATTGTCAGAGTAAAACCTATCTCACATTTTCAGGAGGACTGTTCAAGATTTTATCTTTTAACATAAATCTGAAACGCTGCCTCCCAATGTTTAGTCCTGACTGTACTCCTCAGAGTCTCAGCAGCAGGCCAGTCCATGTGCTCCTCAGAGTATCAGCTGGACTCTGTCTATTTACCTATCTATCTAGCGGCGGTGACCAAACATTCATACAAGAGGTCCATTTTAGTTCAGTGGAATTCTCTTGGGGCTGGCAGCATTACAGTAAAAGTACACTAAGTACAGTACAACTGTTCTTAGCTTTAATATCAGTCAAAAACAAGTGTCAGTATAAAAAAAGAAATTCAATGCCTGGATTCCACAGGGTCTTAGTTTTACCATGAGGAACAGCATGCTAATATCGGTGGACCTGGAGCTGGCTGGATGACACTGTGAATTTGTACTTATGATCTTTGAGTTAGCAAGGCAGAGGGTCACATAACATGACAATGAAGGCCGCAGTTGGCCTGTTGGCCTTAGATTAGACATGCCTGACATTATTATTAGTAAAATCATAGATCTATCTGTCTTCTATGTATTTATCTATGGCCTTGAATCACAACAAAGGACCAGAGAGAATGAGAGAGAGACCTGTGGATAAATAGGAGCAAGGGATTTCTGTAATATGTATATTTTCTTAGATTTCCGTTGTGGGATAATAATGGGATAATGTATGAAATATGTATGGGAGTTTTGTGGCTCAAGATGTTGTTTCTCGGTTCAAGACAGGATATATTTAGGATTTATCTAAATTCATGTCACAGATACATTCTTTCCACTGTTTGCAGATCCTTCTCCGAGTGTTGCAGATGCTGGAGGGGTCAGACGTCACAAACTGTTCTTCAACGTCTCGGTTCCTCATCACGAGCGAGTTATGGCTGCCGAATTACGTCTCTACACGCTGGTCCAGACCGACAGGCACCTGTATGCCGGGGTGGACCGAAAAGTAACTATTCTGGAACTGGAATCAAACGCAGAAGGTTCCAATGCGACAGAAGGAAGTCAGGAGAGATTGGATGGAGCTGGGGACATGCGTCTGACAGAGTTGGCGTCGAGGCAAGTATTCGGCACTGATAACGGTTGGGAGGCTTTTGATCTCACAGTGGCCGTTCAACGTTGGAGGAACTCTGAACAGGGGACCACGCATACGCTGGAGGTGCACATCGCAAGCGTGACCAGAGGTGAAAACATCCCAGAAATGAAAAACGACTGTGACAATGCAATTATACAAGACATGAAAATTGACACGAGTCCAGAGGAGAAGCACAAGCCTTTGCTGATTGTATTTTCGGACGACCAAAGCAACGATCGCAGAGAGGACAAGCGAGACTTAAACGAGATGATTGACCATGAAACTTCCGACACGGTTCTTCAAAATGAGATCTGGAATGACCTTGAGAAAGACAAAGATGCATTTGAAGGAGAAAAAGCAGAGCCGGATGAAGAGGACTTGATCCAAATGAGGTCAAACTTCATCTATGATACGGCATCTCGTATTCGACGAAATGCGAAAGGGGATCATTGTAAGAAACAATCTTTGTTTGTGGAGTTTAAGGACATTGGTTGGGACAGTTGGATTCTGGCTCCCACTGGTTATGATGCCTATGAGTGTGCAGGGGTGTGCTCTTTTCCATTGACAAAGCATGTAACACCCACTAAGCATGCCATTGTTCAAACACTGGTAAACATACACAGTCCATATAAGGCATCTCAAGCCTGTTGCGTTCCCACCAAGCTGGACCCTATATCGCTCTTATACTTGGATGACACCGGAGTGGTCACCTATAAGTACAAATATGATGGTATGGTGGTAGCAGAGTGTGGCTGCAGATAATCCAGGCTTTTACAGACTCTGGCTCTGTGGAAGCTGCAACCACCAAAAAGGGGTATTCTCGGACTTCTACAAACCACTAGACAAAAGAGAGTACTCGAAAAGCTCTAAACGCACTATGAGATGTTTCTCAAGAAGCACTAAGAACGCAGTTGCTGACAGTGGCAGTAGTGAGGTGTGTCCTCTGTGACAGATACACATATCCATATTTCCCAATGGCTCCGGGAGCTCCTGATGCAGTGAGCAGAGACTGGTGGGAACCGGAGCTCCCCCTTCCCTTCCCCTGACAGGGTCTTCCTCTGCACTTATCTGAGGCCAAACAATCATCAGCACTTCATGGGCCTGAGGCGAGCGGACTCCAAGGCCTGGATTGTCCCAATGCTGCTGCTGGAACAGGGTTATCGCCCCCTCTGCTTCCCCTTCACATGCCTCCGCTCTCCTGGCAGTGATAGTGAGGTGTTTCTAACATATGTGTGGCACCAACTGAACTGAACAGAATTGGTTTGGAACAGACTTTGCGAAGGACGTGGGGCAGGGGTCACCAACATACCGAGGGTCAACCTACTGACCCAGTCTGTGCCCCCCACATACCTATAGCTGTTGGATGGGTCATCAATCATTTTTATCAAGACGTCTTTTTGGGCATTACTGTACTGTGATTGTAAACTGTTTGAATATCCATGTGATACCTCTGCTGCTTGTGCACACTTATTAACTATTTATTGTATTAATTTATTATTTTTAAGACTGTTTTTATTGTAATATATATGTCATGTTGTGACAAGGGTTTTGCTGCATTCACTTCTGTTGGGAAGAAACGTTTGTAGAAACTCGATCTATAGCATAAAAGACATACTGTCATACTTCTATGGACTGAGTTTATTTATATAGCAAAGTACATACACAAGGGAACTCAAAGGGCTCAACAAAACAATACAGCTAAACAGACCAGTTTTAACCTGGATTTGAATATTGCCAGAGTAGAAGCCTGTCCCACATTTTCAGGAAGACTGCTCAAGTTTTATCAGCATGAATTCTTTAAAGCTGCATCAGCCATGTTTAGTCCTGACTCTGGGCATCAGCAGGAGGCCAGTCCTTGTGCTCCTTAGAGTCTGAGGTGGTTCATATGGCTTCAACATGTCACAGATGTACTTTGGTGTGAGGCCACAGAGAGACTTGTACACAAGCAGAGCTGTTTTAAAGTCTATTCTCTGAGCCACAGGAAGCCAGTGAAGAGAGCTGAGATTGATTTTACTTCCTGGTTCTAGTCAGGACTGGAGCTGCAGCCTTTTGAACATACTGCAGCTGTTTTAAGCTTATTTTGAGAGACCAGTGAGTCTAACCTACTGGAGACAAATGCAGGATAAGAATCTGCGTCTCTGTTATAGACACAATATTTTGGATTCTGGCAATGTTTTCAGATGGTAAAAGCTGCAGATGTTACTGATTTCATGTGGCTGTTTGCACTACGTTATTACCAAGCTCTAAGTGATCCAAGATAGCGCCCTATTCAAATGAATGGCCTGTGCTCAGTAGCGCAAGGGACTTACAGGAGGACTGAAAGATTACAATCGAAGGATTTTAGAAGAAAAAAAGTGCAGGATGACAAGGGTCACTAAAATCCCCACAAAATCCGATCTTTATGAAAGCTGTAGGTTCTCTGTCAGCTGAGGTCGAGCTGTTTTAATTTACATTGAGTTTTATGGAACTTTTTTCTGGGTAGCACACGTGAATTTAGTCTGCAGTACCACGGGCACCCCCTCTACCCGTGGGTGGGACAGCTACAAGCTAGTTATACCCTATCCAGTTATTATGATCCATGGTTTTACTGAAGGACCTGATTTAAATTCTCCCCACTTGGCCTGACAGTAGCACCCTAAGGGTCATAGTCCATGTGTCACATAAACAAAAGCATCTAGGGAAACAGTAGAAGGTACACTAATGAACTGAATGGATGGAGTGTGTACACTGGCAGCGAGCAGGCGCTGGGGAAGCTCTGATGGAATCTATGTTCAAATAAACAGAGTCTATTACTTATGACTGATGGTTGATTACATAGACTGTATATATTAACGGACAGAGTCACGCCTATCTCCGCCAGTCTAACTAATGGGCCAAAAAATGGCCGCGAGTGGTCCCGCCCACAAGAAAATTGTGAAAAAACGCATGCTCCACTCATTTGAGACTTCAAAAATTCACAGCAAGTAAACTTGAGTGGTCCAAAAAAATTCACCCCCCTCAGCATTGACACACATGTGGAACGGAGCTTTGGGCCATGAGCCAACTTTTGGTCCATCCTGTAAAGACGTTTTTGAGAGGTCTGCCAATGCTATATGTTAGCATGGCTAATTCTTCTTCTGGGTCCCCATCGGCCCGGGGTGGTATTGCAAGCATGTCAGCGCACGTCATTTTGGCCAATTTTGAGCTGGGACCCCCCCCCACTGGTTGATTAGCACAAAAATACTGTATCCTGGCCTTCAATCCAGGGTCTCAAAGACCTCCATTGGAAGTTCGAGTTCTTCGAAATGGACGCCACCTTGTACGACGACGCCAACCACTAGTACGCCTAAGAGAAATCAGTTCTCGTCGAGAAACGTGATTGGAACTTTATGTTTTATAACTTTATAACTTTACCACGGGCGCTGGGTTTTTATGAATTTTTTAAATCTCAAATCACTAATCTAACCCTAACCCAAAGATCCATTTGAATAATTTTACTGAAATTTACCCCTGCCCATTAGTGATATGATTCTTTTGTGGATTCTCCAAAACCAGATCAGAGAAATCAAGCATTTAATAACAAACGTATAGGAGCCATTGGTCCAAAAGGGAGTGGGATGACAGAACTGAGGCTGTAGATCCAGGACTCAGGGTTTAGAACCAGGACTGATGCTGTGGTACAGATTTAGATCCATGAATCAGGACTTGACAAGCAAAGCATTAAAGTCCTCTCATCTATAATGCTGCAGAACAGGAAGTCAGTGCTCTCTGTGTGGTCCCTGTACTTTACCATAAATCAGAATATTCCCAAAATTGTTTTGTATGAATTGACGCTTATTTAAGTTAAGGATAAAAACCTGATAATAGTATTATAAGTTCAGACCATCACATAAGAGAGTAGGGGTTGTCTAAAAATAGTTATCAACTAGAAAACAGGGCATTGACCAGCGAACCAGCCGCTATTAAAAGTCAAATGAATATTTCCGCTGCTCTGTTCACTGTCAAGGCTTCAGAAAATATGATGAAAGTTTATAGCCACAGATAAAGTAATTATAATTAGCTCTACTTGTTGTTCCCATATGGTGGCTGACACACTCTATATGACCAGACGAGGGCGCCACATGTTTTTTAGGATGTAAAAAAACATGCATCCTTTCTGATGAAGAGGGGTCTAAGGAAAGTGATGATTAGGGACATTTATTAACATTTCTGGACAGTGGTCATCCTAATCCTTATGAACCAATAGCTCCTATGTGCTGGTCATTATTGCATTACCTCAGAGTAGAGTAGAGAAAGTAGAGCTGTGTAAATGCAGTGCTACAGAAATTCTCAAGTTCAACCTTTGAGCTGGTTGCCCCCAGACCAGACTCGTGGGCTGCACCTCTCTCCCTGCCGGGGAGCCTCCTAAGGCATGAATCTATAGCCTCAGTCCTGGATCTACAGGAGGGTTCTTAAGGACAGTGATAATCCGGCACATACACCCACCAGTGGTCATCCTGCTCCTAATGGACCAATGGCTCCTAACTGTTTGATTATCTGATCCGCTGTTGATGAATCGCCAACTTTGTAAAAGTCCTCATAGATGACTGCTGTTTGATAAAGGGATTTACACAAATTAATTGAAATGAAAAAGCCAATCTAGTGAAAATCTTTGCCTGTGAACCATGTCTCTCGTTGGTCTCTTCAGCGTGACGTATGACGCAGGCCTGAGGTGGGACATGTGCTTTGGTGCGTGCCCATCTGCTGACATGGGGTCTGTAATGAAACTTGAGCGAGACCAAAGAGAGACCAGAGAGAGACCACATAGATACCAGAGACCACCCAGAGAGAGAGAGACCAGGGAGAGATCGGAGACACCAGAGTGAAAGACCAAAGAGAGACCAAAGAGAGGCCAGAAAGATCAGAGAGACCAGAGAGAGACCAGTGAGAGACTGGATGGACACCAGATAGACCAGAGAGAGACTGGATAGAGACCAGAGAGAAAAACAAGCGAGAGACCAGTCACTTGTCTCAGTTGGGACGTGTGCTTTGGTGCGTGCCCGAAGCCCGGCCCGTGCTGCTGACGTGGGGCTGTAATGAGGCCTGATTACTTCCGTTTAGGGACAGGTTTATCGCTCCATCTCACCGCTCTTCCACCCAGAGCATATCTTTTCCCAGCGCAGTTGTCCACTCAGAAGTGGTCTTTCGAAGAATGCATTAAGCATTATCGATGTGTGAAGGAGAGATTCCGCAGGTCTTTCCTTCCTGCTGCTGTCAGACTGTACAACAAACAATGAGGACCGATGAACACTGCCAACTTGATCCCACTTGTCGCGTCGTTGCAATATCCTTAACTAATATCAGAATGTGCAATAACCACATGTCACTTCACTGACTGCTGGCAGACAGACTTTCTAGATAGATACTTTATTGATCCCCATAGGACAAATTCAGGTGTCCAGTAGCAGTAAAAATAATATTGATCATTCTAAAATGCTAATGATAGTATTAATTAGCCACAGATGTTTCTAGAAACTCCTTGTCCAAATGTTCCAACCTGCTTCTAATTACATGTTGACTGTTTTGTTGCTCAATCATTTAAACAATGGCAGGAACAGGATTGAGGTTAATGAGAAGCACATGTCTACAGCAAACTTCATGACCCAAACTTGAGCCCAGAACCAGACCAGCACGCCACAACACACGAGAATCTCTTTTGCTAACCCCTCTGGGCTCCGGGACCGATACTCGAGGATCAGAGATTGAGCAATAATATCCTTTCATAAGAGCTGAACAGGAGCCAGCAGATGTGGGTCTTACATAAGAAATCACAGAAGAACTCGATGGTATATATCAGAAGGAAATTGGGCAAATGAAAACAGTGGGAGTGGCTCGTGACTGTGGGAGGAGGAAGACAAAATTAAAACTGCAAGCAGCATTGAGGTCTCGGACTCGACATCAATAGAGTTGTTAGTGAGTGGTCCCTGGCTGATGCAGGAGGGTCTAAGAACAACATAAATGAAAATATCTGGACAGGTACTCCCATATTGCCAGCAGTTTCTGATGATTTTTATTGATCTTTCAAGACCCACAGAATATTGTGTACTATGACTATCTGAAAATCTGAGATTCTGAAAGAAGGAACTGTCTACTTTCATCAGCAAAAATAATTTTGTTTCAAGCTTGTTTTGTTCCCCTGTAATCCCCAGTCGAGTAGAGGGAAGTTTTACTGAAATCTCCATTCTCAGACAGAAAGCTGAGAAAAAGTTGCTAATGTGAAAATGACCACACCATGCAAAAAAGTGACTTTGACAAAAATATGTTTTACTTCAGTCATTTTTTAAACTTGTGAATATTGTTCCCTTCAATAAAACAACAAAAACAAAACATAAAAAGTGCTTTTGATTGAAAAATAATGTTTTACAGTATGCATGTTCACACAAAAAGACAACAAATTAGAAATTACAGTAAACGCTATATACAAAGGGGGTGTGTGTGTGTGTGTGCGTGCGTGCGTGTGTGTTTACACAGTGTAGTTTTTTTTAATGTGGTAGGCTGTAAAGCACTCTCCTTGATGTAACGGGACACACCACAGCCTATGCGTCATGGGAGGACTCTCTGCTGCTTGCAGACCCAGATGGGAGCCATTCTGAAGAAGAATCCGGGCCTGGCTCTGAGAGTACTTCAGAATTGCTCTCAGCGCACCTTGACAAAACACGGGCTCTCCTTCTGAGAGCTAGCATGCGCAGTAGAACCAGTAGCGCACCTTTCAGCAGCATTTTTGGGCTGCTTCGGCCCCCACCTCTCCACTATCAGCTGAACAAAAGCTCTTCTTGGAACCACCATCTAACACCTGTTCCAGCGTGAACTGTCTGTATTTCCCTGATTTCTCCATACCTTGATCTCTCCGTTTCTCTCTCTGTCTCTCTCAAGCCCCAGTGATCCAAGATGGTGCCCTATTTAAATGAATGGCTTGTGCTCAGTAGGGCATGGGACTTCACGGGGACCTAGAGAGTAGCAGAACTCGCCAATATTTGGGCATCGTCTGGTCCTCTCGGTTCTGTGCAGTGGACGAGCTCCCATGATGTGTTGCGCCAAATACGTGTGTGTGGCTCTCATGCACGTGCACAGAGGGGCTCGGTAGCGCTTTGACCAATCAGCGCCCCTGTGCCCATGGGTGGGACAGCTATGAGATAGTAATACCCTATATTAGTGATGGGTCCAGCAACACTGATACACCGGCGCATGTGCCGAGTTCGTTTAGCGAAACCTCGTATCGGCGCGCGTGTCGCTTTATGAAAAAGCCACGTGACCAATACAGCCGCAGTGTCGCTTGTCACCGACACGGCAAACTGTGTTTAAAAGGTTCCGCATCTGCAAGTGTCACCGGTATGAACCGCTCTCAGAAAAAGAAAATAACCCTTTCAAAAAGGAAAACATCCCATTTTACAGCATAAAAAAATGGAACTGCCACTAAAAGAAAGTATTCTGCAGTGTGATACTGCAAATAACAGCAAATAAGGCAATGTTTGTATTTTACATTTCACGCTTTATCTACAATCCAGCTTTAGTTTGAAACGCAAAATCTAGTTAGGCATGGTGGATGAGTGGATAGCGCTCTCGCCTCGCGTTTGAGAGAACTGGGTACGAATCCCTGTCGGACCTCAAAAGTTTATGTTGACATCACAGTCTTGAAGAATAATTTTGAGACATTGAAGTGCAGAAAATGTCAAAGGTTTTTTTCAAGTATACTTTAGTTGCCAGGGTTTACAGTGCACTTTGGACATGCTTATTGTTTTGAAAAAAAAAAACAAAAAAAAAAAACATCACTCAATGACATTTTGCTTAATGAATACATTCACAACTATCACTTTAATTTTCACATAAAATAAAATAACACAGACAATGCAGTTACGTAATATTGTGTGCAGACAAGTATGTAAAGCTCATTGAATCAGTGAGTTGGATGCAATGATTTATCAGATCCACCAGGTGTCAGTATAGAGCAGCACAAGCAACACTGTTGCGGCACAGTATCAACACAGTTTGTTGGATGTGCCGAAACGATACGTGAGGTTTCATTTACCCATCACTACCCTATATAGTTATTATTATAGATCCATGGTCTCTCTCTGTCTGCTATTTTCCACCATGTGCTCAGATCTCACAACATGTACATCCTGTTTTCAAAACATCCAGAGAGTAGTGGCGCCACCTGCTGGCTCGATGACATATTGTCTAAAGCTAATCCCCATACATATTAGATATAATAGAAAAAAGAAAAAAAACAGCTAAATGAAAGGCCCTGTCCTGGTAAGTAACAGGAAGTCTCAGACATGGAAATTGCTTTGGCTCAGTGCAACAGTCAGAAAGAGAGGTAAAGGTAAAGCGGCATAATAAAACATAAAAATAAAAGCACTTCTAAGGAATAAATTTAAATTTAAAATAGAGTTACAATTACAATTACTATATACAATATACAAGTGCACATGGTGCACACAATGTAAGGTGACAGCAGTACAGTGAAGTAAAGTGACGTATGATGGGCAGTAAAGTGACTTTATAGGGCAGTGAGGGGCCTTCTAGAGGGCGGGAGGACAGGTTATGAAGTGTTCAAGAGTCCAACAGCAGAGGGGAAGAAACTGTTCTTGTGGCGGGAGGTTCTAGTCCTGACGGACCGCAGCCTCCTGCCTGAGGGGAGTGGTTGGAATAGTCCATGTGCAGGGTGAGAGGGGTCGGATGTGATACGACCAGCCCGGCCTCGAGCTCGGGCGACGTACAGGTCCTGCAGCGATCACCTCCTCTGCAGAGCGCACAATGCGCTGTAGTCTCTGTTTGTCCCTGACTGTGGCTCCAGCGAACCACACGGTGATGGAGGAGGTGAGGATGGACTCAATGATGGCCGTGTAGAACTGCACCAACATCTGTGCAGGCAGCCTGGCTTTCCTGAGCTGCCGCAGGAAGTACATCCTCTTCTTGATGAGGGAGCTGATTGTTGGCTCCCACTTGAGGTCCTGGGTGATGGTGGTGCCCAGGAAACGGAATGATTCCACAGAGGTGATGGGGGGAGTCCATCAGGAAGGGCGGGGGCGGGGGGACTGTGCTCCTCCTGAAGTCCACAATCATCTCCACTGTCATCTGGGCGTTCAGCTCCAGGTTGTTACCACTGCACCAGGACAACAGCCGGTGTCTGAATTTACTTTTGAATGCGCTGGAAAACGGAAACAGTTGTTTTGTGTTTTTGTGTGTTTTTTATTGTTTTTTTTTTTACCTGAGAAGTTGCTGCAGTACAGCGTGTTCAACATTGGTCCAGAGCAGCGAGGATTTGTGGTCCGAACCAAGCAGATCAGGCGAAAATCCATTGGAGGAATGCTAACCTTTTGAAAAATGCTAATGCTAAATTCAGCGTTTTACTTTGGACAAGAGCAGAGAAAAGGGTCCGAACCAAACGACTACTACACCTTGTGACCCGTCCTGCTCTAGCCAGCGGATGTTCCACCTCTGCTGCTGTGACCCGTCCTTCTCCGCCCAGAGGCTATTCCACTTCTGCTGCCGTGACCTGTCCTGCTCCACCCAGTGGATGGTCCACCTCTGCTGCTGTGACCCGTCCTTCTCCACCCAGCGGCTACTCCACCTCTGCTGCTGTGACCCGTCCTGCTCCACCCGTAGTCTACTCCATCTCTGCTGCTGTGACCTGAAGGGTGCTGCCGTACACCTGAATTTCTCCTACGGGGATCAATAAAGTATCTATCTATCTATGTACTGTAGCTATCTATCTAGACAGAGTTAAACCCAGAAACTTGCTCTCCTCTACAATCTGCACATGGGGTTTATCAATAACGACAGGCATGTAAGAACTGATATGGCTAAAATCAAATATAAGTTCACATGTTTTGGATGTGTTCAGCTGGAGGTTGTTGTCTTTACTGCACTGAACTTTAGATGAAGTGGAACATTGTTTCTGACCCAATACCTTTAGAATTTATTTTTCCAATAAAGAATTCATGAGCAGTTGTGTATGCATTGTCTCAATGCAATGTATGCCTCACAACATTATTCAAACATGTACACACTCTATCGAGAACTACAGTTTCCCTTGAATCCCGGACTGTTGCAGGAATTGCTGAGGCAACATGTGCTTTTGATTTCTCCAGCCGATCCCTGGAGAGCCGCACACAGTAAAACCTGAAACATGACTCTGACGGACCACAGACCCCAGAGAGCTGTCTGAAGAGGCCACTTGGCCACTCTCCTAACAAGAGACAAAGGGACAGAAGGCCGCATTGTCTTGTCATATAACACGTTCACCAGCAAACAAGATCAGGAAAAAAAAAAGTAAACTTTAGCAGTGCTCCCCAACCTTTTTGAGCTGTGGCACACTATTCTTATTGAAAACGTATTGAAATCTTGTCTTATCTTAACTTATTAATAACTGGCACACCACCAGCTGAAACTCAAATCCTAAACCTTACCCTAACCCTAAAGTCGTGTTCCCACTGCCGATGCATGGACGTGCGTTGATGGAGGTATGGACGCGCGTCCACTGAATTTCAGCTGCATGAGTATAGTCTATCTGTTGTACTGCCCTGCAATGAGGAAAACCAGTGGGGGCGAGTCCCGGCTCAAAAAGGTCTGTGAGCACTTGCGCTGACATGCTTGCAACCTCAACGCTACGTTCCAGATCTGAGTTAATGCACACATCTGGTCAAAAATAATAAGATTTTTTATTTTTGACCAGCCTAGTTTAGTTGTTGTGGACTAAACTAGTCGTTGTGGACTAACGAGTGCATTCAAAATCCCTTTTGAATGCACTTGTTACAGTAAATGAATGGGGCTCATGCTGGAAAACACATTTTCTTATGAGATGGCACATTAGTTTCAACCGTGGAGATAGGCGTGACTACGTCTGTTAATATTTACAGTCTATGGGAAAAACGCAGGGCGGAAATGGTGGGCGGGCTTTGATGCTAACAAATTTAATAACCGGTTCTTCCGATCTGGTGAATTTGTTAGCAGCACTTTTATAGAGTGACAGTAGAATGTTGGCTCACTCGCGCGGCGCTGGTTACGGTTGCAGTTGCGCTGGACCTACGTAACCACAGTTGGTGGTACACTCGCGTGTTCCCCTTGCAGAGTTTTAAAGAGAATTTTGTAATACCATAACCAACCACATGATGGCGATCTCACAGGAGTTGTCCAAGCTCCGGCGATCCAAGATGGCGCCCTATTCAAATGAATGGTTGTGCTCAGTGGCGGCATGGGGGCTGAAATATTAGCGGAAGTCGCCTGGAACTCGCAAAGATCTATGGGAAACTCGCCTGTATTTGGGCATCGTCTGGTCCTTCCGGTTCTGCGCAGTGGAGGATCTCCCATAATGCGTTTCACCAAATAATCAGAATCAGAATCAGAATCATTTTTATTGCCACGTAAGTAACAGGAGGTCACAGACTAGGAAATTGCTTTGGCTCAGTGCAACAGTCAAAAAGAGATAATAAAAATAAGAATAAAAAACACTTCTAAAGAATAAATTTAAATTTAAAATAGAGTTACAGTTAGTATTTACAATATACAAGTGCACATGGTGCACACAATGTAAGGTGACAGCAGTACAGTGAAGTAAAGTGACGTATGATGGGCAGTAAAGTGACTTTATAAAGGGCGGGGGGACAGGTTAAGAAGTGTTCAAGAGTCCAACAGCAGAGGGGAAGAAACTGTTCTTGTGGCGGGAGGTTCTAGTCCTGATGGACCGCAGCCTCCTGCCTGAGGGGAGTGGTTGGAATAGTCCATGTGCAGGGTGAGAGGGGTCGGCTGTGATACGACCAGCCCGGCCTCGAGCTCGGGCGACGTACAGGTCCTGCAGCGATGGAAGGCTGCGGCCGATCACTTCCTCTGCAGAGCGCACAATGCGCTGTAGTCTCTGTTTGTCCCTGACTGTGGCTCCAGCGAACCACACGGTGACGGAGGAGGTGAGGATGGACTCGATGATGGCCGTGTAGAACTGCACCAACATCTGTGCAGGCAGCTTGGCTTTCCTGAGCTGCCGCAGGAAGTACATCCTCTGCTGGGCCTTCTTGATGAGGGAGCTGATGGTCGGCTCCCACTTGAGGTCCTGGGTGATGGTGGTGCCCAGGAAACGGAAGGACTCCACAGAGGTGATGGGGGAGTCCATCACGGAGGGTGGGGCCGGGGGGACAGTGCTCTTCCTGAAGTCCACAATCATCTCCACTGTCTTCTGGGCGTTCAGCTCCAGGTTGTTACCACTGCACCAGGACACCAGCCGGTCCACCTCCCTCCTGTAGGCGGACTCATCGTTGTTGGAGATGAGTCCAATGAGGGTGGTGTCGTCCGCGAACTTGATCAGCTTCACAGAGTCGTGGCTGGAGGTGCAGTGGTTGGTGTACAGGGAGAAGAGCAGGGGAGAAAGAACACAGCCCTGTGGGGCTCCTGTATTTATAATCCGAGAGTCCGAGACATTCTTCCCCAGACGCACTCGCTGCTTCCTGTCCGTCAGGAAGTCAGTGATCCACCTGCAGGTGGAATCGGGCACGTTGAGCTGGGAGAGCTTGTCCTGGAGCAGGGATGGCAGGATTGTGTTGAAGGCAGAGCTGAAGTCCACGAACAGGACCCTGGCGTAGATCCCTGGGGAGTCCAGGTGCTGTAGGATGTGGTGGAGGGCCAGGTTAATGGCGTCGTCTACAGATCTGTTGACTCTGTAGGCGAACTGCAGGGGGTCCAGGAGGGGGGAGGTGAGGGACTTCAGATGGGAGAGAACCAGGCGTTCAAATGACTTCATGACGACAGACGTAAGTGCTACAGGTCTGTAGTCATTGAGTCCTGTGATCCTGGGCTTCTTCGGGACGGGGACAATGATGGAGGATTTGAAGCAGGCCGGGACATGGCAGGACTGCAGAGAGGTGTTGAAAATGTCAGTGAACACAGGAGTAAGTTCACTGGCGCAGTGTCTCAGAGTGGCCGGAGACACGTGGTCCGGGCCAGGAGCTTTGCGGGGGTGCAGCCTCAAGAAGAGTTGTTTAATCTCTTTAGCGGCTATTGTTAGGCTGGGGGCAGGGCTGATGGGTGGGTCGTTAGAGTAGTGGGGGGTGGGGGAGGGAGAGGTGTCAGGGGCAGCATCAAAGCGACTGAAAAATAAGTTCAGTTCGTCAGCTAGCTTGTGGTCGTCAGCACAGGGGGGGGCTTTGGGTTTGTAGTTGGTGATCTCCCGTAGGCCCCTCCAGACAGAAGCAGTATCGTTGTTACCAAACTGCTCCTGTAGTCGTTCTCTGTGCCGGGACTTGGCTGCTTTCAGTTTTTTCCTGAACTGATATTTAGCTGCTTTGTAGCCGCTGCGGTCCCCCTCCCTGAAAGCAGACTCCTTTGCTTTCCTGAGCTGCCGGAGTTTAGCAGTGAACCAGGGTTTGTCGTTGTTATAGATGACGCTGGTCCTTGTTGGAATGATGCTATCCTCACAGAAGTGAATGTATGACGTCACAGTGTCCGTATATTCATCCAAACTATCTGTGGCAGCTCTGAAAAGGTCCCAGTCTGTAGATTCCATGCATACGCGCAGCTCTTCCACAGCTTCATCAGACCACACTTTGGAGCTCCTCACTGCAGGTTTCGAGAGCTTTAGTCTCTGTCTGTAAGCAGGAACCAGATGTATCATGGAGTGATCTGAGAAGCCGAGGGCTGGCTTGGGAACAGCGCGAAAAGCTCCGCGCACGGTGGTGTAACAGTGATCCAGAGTGTTCTCCTCTCTGGTCGGGCATTTGATAAACTGTCTGTATTTGGGTAATTCCTGGCTCAAGTTTCCCTTATTAAAATCCCCCAGGATAATAATCAGAGAGTCCGGGTATAAACGTACACAGTACTTGCTCTGCGAGTGCGCGCTGAGCCTCGCGCGCGTCCGCGTGGCGGTATGTAAACAGAGGCAAGAATGAATGAAACAATTTCACGCGGGGAGTAAAATGGTTTACAATGGATGAAAAGATATTCCAGAGCAGGAGAGCAGTGCTTGGAGATCACTGTCACATCGTTACACCAGTTTGTATTGACGTAGAAACAGAGCCCACCACCTCTGCTCTTCCCTGAGAGCGCACAATGGCGATCCGCGCGGAACAGCCCAAAGCCCTGCAGCTCCAGAGCGCAGTCCGGGATCCGCTCATTATACACGTGTAATACACGTGTGTATGTCACAAATGTGAGGTTCTTTGATCAGCTTGATAAAACCCACTGCTGAATGACGACACAGTCTTGATCGGATAAGATTTATTTACAGAGAATAAATAAGGTTAAAAAAAGCCGGGCCTTACGGATTAAAAATCTGTACTAAAAAATCTAAAACCCCAGAGCCTTCGTCTCCCGGATTGTACTGTCCCGGGCCAGCTGTCCTCCCGGTAGTGTGCGTCCGCTCTCCCACGCCTCTGCTCCTGCAGTCCCCAGGCCGTTGCGCATCTGTGGCCTGTGTCCCGCTGTGGAGAGGACCGGGGATTACACGCTGTCCAACACTGTTTAAAGTGCTCAGATCGCAGTGTGAGGATTCGTATACGTCCCTTTACTTATCTCATTTCCAGCGTTGTATGCCGCCTTGGCTTGCCCGCACCGCTGCTCAAGTCTCTACTCCGCGTCTGCTCCTGTTGACCCCAGTCCGCTGCGCGTCTGTGGCCTGTGTCCAGCTGTGGGGAGGACCGGGGATTACACGCTGTCCAATACTATTTAAAGTGCTCAGATCACAGCGTGAGGATTCGTATACGTCCCTTTACTTATCTCATTTTCAGCGTTGTATGCCGCCTTGGCTCCGCTGGTCCCGCTGCTTTGGCCCACTGCTTAGCCGAGGGAGAAAAGGGGGGGGGGGGTGTCCAGCCCGACGCGCCGCTCCTTTGCCACTCGTGAGTGTCTGCGCAGCCTCGAACCCGTCCAGTCTCCGTCCGGCGTCTGCTCTGGCTTCGGTTCTCCTGCGCTGCGATCCAAAACGCTCGCTCCTGTAGCTCCTTCCGTGCGCTTCCCCCGAGTCTCCGTTTCTTTCTTTTTCTCTCCTTCTCCCCTCTCTCCCCACCTGTTCCCGTTTTGTCCTCAACCTGGCTGATTACCACCAATGGCATGTGGTGGGGGTGTGGTCCATGGCTTCCTCTCTACATTGTCTTTTAAAGAAAACACTGCAACCCACACTAAAAACAGAACTCAAAACTGCATGCACTATATGTAAGGTCGGAAAACCCATGCCACTGACACTCCTCCCCCCTTTACCATTGGTCGTCCCGGCCAATGCTCAATCTGAATACCTGGCGGGCAATCTACCAATGTTGGCACGTTGTGAACGACGTACTATCGGAAACATGGGTTCTGGAGGCACAGGTGGAGGCTCTGGTTCCACTATCTGGATGGCTGGTGGTGCGGGGGCTGGTCTTGGCAATTCTGGTAACCACCAGGTGGGAGGCGGCGGGGTTAGCCTAACCGCCACAGCCTCTGGCCCAGGGGGTGGGTCTGGGTCCTGCTGTAACAAATTCATAGGACAAGGGCGCAGATTATTACAATGAATTGTTCGTGTGGGCATTTCTTTACCTTCAGGCCGCACAATATAGACTGGGTGGTTTTCTGCCAATGGAGCCACCACTACAAAGGGTACTGGGTTCCACCTAGGCGCCAGCTTTCCCTTGGCCCGTCTACGAAAGTTTCGTATCAGCACCCTTTCCCCTGGCAAAAAAGGCACTGTATGGGCTCTTCGATTGTAACGAGCTTGGTCTTGCTCCTGTCGGTGTTGGGCTTTCTGCTTAGCTACTTTATATGCATGGTCTAGCGCCCTTCGATGAGTCTTAACCCACCCTTCCAAGGTGTGGGTCTCTTGGGTCGGGTGTAGCCCAGTCGCCCAGTCCACTGGTAGCCTGGCATGTCTTCCGAAGACTAAATAGTGGGGTGTGAATCCGGTGGAGCTGTGGACCGTGTTATTATAAGCCTGGAGTAGGGCAGGCAACTTATCATGCCATTGAGTCTGGCTGCTCTCTTCCAACGACCCCAATAGCCCCAATAGGGTCTGATTGAATCGCTCGCAAGCCCCATTTCCTTGGGGGTGGTAAGCCGTTGTGCGGCTTTTCTGGCACCCATACAACTCGCACAGTTGACCAAAGAGCATGGATTCGAAAGCCGCCCCTCGGTCCGTCAAGATGCGTTCTGGACAGCCGAACATTTGGATCCAGTGGTTATGGAGGGCTCTGACCGTGGTTTCCGCAGACTGATCTTTGGTCGGTACTGCAATGGCAAATCTTGAAAACAGGTCAGTCATAACCAATATGTAGGCATACCTGTCCTCTGGACGGCCCAGGGAAAGATAGTCCAGTCCCACCACCTCGAATGGGTACGAGGTGTTGATTGACTGTAGCGGGGCCCTCCTTTCTGGGCCAGACTTACTACAAATGCACTGAGGGCATTCTAGAGTCCATTCCTTGACATCCTCAGTCATTCTTGGCCAGTAACAGCGCTGCCTGAGGGCTGCCACGGTCCGGTCGTTGTTTGGGTGGCCCATCTTTTCGTGGTAGGTCTGCCAAAGATCTTTCGCCTCTTGCCTGGGAACAATACACTGGAAAATAGTTAGCCCGGAGCCAGTCTCTTCACACATGCGGCAAAGTACTCCGTCCCGAAGTGTAAGATTTTCCCACTCCCTCAAGAGTCGTCTTGTGTATAACGAGGGGTCACGTACCTCTGGGCATGTGGTCCCTTGCTCCTTCCACTGCCGTATCTGTACGAGCTCTGGGTCCTTGGCCTGGCGCTCTCGCCAAGTCTCCCCGTCTTCCACGCTGACATTGTCCGTTCTTGCCATGACCAGCTGAGGCAACCTTGACAACGCGTCAGCATTTCGATTCTGCGTCCCCGGTCGGTATTTTATAGTGTACTGGAAATTAGCTAGTTGGGCGGCCCACCGCTGTTCTACCGCCCCCAGCCGAGCAGTCTCCAAATGTACCAGAGGGTTATTGTCTGTAAAAACTGTGAATTCTGCACCATACAGGTAGTCTTTAAACTTTTCGGTGACCGCCCACTTTAAAGCCAAAAGTTCGAGCTTAAAGGAACTATAATTTTGGTCATTCCTCTCAGCTGGCTGCAGGCTGCGGCTTGCATAGGCAATCACCCGCTCCTTGCCGTCCTGTACCTGAGCTAAGACTGCCCCCAAGCCCTCAAAACTAGCATCAGTGTACAATTTGAATGGCTGGGAGAAATCTGCATAAGCCAGTATGGGGGCATTTAACAGTGCAGTCTTTAACTGGTCAAAAGCTGTCTGGCACTCTAGGGTCCAGCAGACTGGGGCTGTCCTCTTTTCACTGGCAGTGTTTCGGGTCAGAGCATTCAAGGGCAACGCTAGCTTTGAGAACCCTGGGATAAAGCGTCTATAATACCCCGCAAAGCCCAAGAAGGATTTTACCTGCTTCACCGTTTGAGGTACAGGCCACTCCTTAACCGCTGCGGTTTTCGCTGGGTCGGTGGCGACGCCCTCTTCGCTGATGACATGGCCGAGGTAAGTGACTTTTCTCTGAAACAACATACACTTCTTGGGCTGGAGCTTCAGGCCCCGTCTACACGTAGCAGGGTATCTCACAAACCGAAGATATTTTCCTACGATCTGGCCTATCATCCACACAAACCCGGAGTTTTCTGTCGATAAAAACGAAGGTTTCTGAAAACTCCGGCCAAAGTGAAGATTTGGGAATTCTCCGGTTATGCGTTTGAGTGTGGACATAAATAACCGGAGTATTCGGCTGTACGTCACTACCAGCGTGCTGCTCTGACGTCACACGCGCGACCTGTGTTTACATCAGAAACAACATGGAGGCCATCAAAACCGCTTTTGTTTTAACGATTGTTCAGGCACTTTTTGCTTGCTTGTTTTTACAAGCTCAAATACTGCTTCATGTTGAAGAGCACAGACGAAGGAGCACTTTAAGGTCGGCTATTTTCCGCCAAATAACCATCCCTCGTCCAAGACATGTTCCTCGTCAAAGACGGCAACGGCAATTTTGGGTCAGACCGGGACGCACTGCCAGCTGGTGGGAGAACTTTGAGATGGAAGTCGTCCTCCCGGAGGAAGGTAGGTTTGTAGGTTTGAAATGTAATTGACAACGCATGTATGCGGTTAGGTGTGGATGCCGTTTTTTAAAAAACCGAGGCTGTGTGGACAGAAGTTTTTTTTTAGGCGGAGGGCGGATTTATAAATGCCCTGCTACGTGTAGACAGGGCCTTAGGCCGTGTTCCTGAAGCCGTTCAAAAACTTCCTCCAGGTGCTGTATGTGTCTGTCAAACGTAGGAGAAAACACAACAATGTCATCCAGATAAATTAACAATGATTCATTCACCATGTCCCCAAGGCACCTTTGCATTAGCCTTTGGAAGGTTGCCGGCGCATTACACAACCCAAAGGGCATTCGCTCAAATTCAAAAAGGCCCAAAGGGGTTGTGAAGGCAGTTTTCTCCCGATCGTCAGGGTCCATCTCAACCTGCCAGTAGCCGCTGGCCAGATCCAGAGTGGAGTACCATTTTGCTGATTTTAATCCGGTAAGAGACTCTTCAATACGGGGAAGGGGATAGGCATCTTTGTGAGTCAATGCATTTAGTCTGCGGTAGTCTACACAGAACCTCCAGCTCTCGTCCTTCTTTCTCACCAACACAATGGGGGCTGCCCAGGGGCTCGAACTTTCCCGGACAATCCCATTGTCTAACATATTCTTTAACAAAATCTGTAACTCAGAATAGAGGCTAGGTGGAACAGGTCTGTACCTCTCCCGGCTAGGTGGGGCAGAGCCGGTCGGGATTTGGTGTTTTACAGCATTTGTCCGGCCAAAGTCCTCTTCGTGTTGGGAAAACACGCTCCTCCACCGATCCAAAAGACTGTTCATTTTTTTCTGCTGTTCCCCTGTCAGGCCCTCTCCCTGTAAGGACACGACTGGATGGGGCTCTTCCTCGTCTTCTACCCCCACTCTCCTAACCCCCACTTCCACCACGTCTGGTTCAATGCAATCTAGCACCAGCTCTTGTTCCCCTTTAATGTCTGATGTGGAGACCTCAGTAACTTGGGCTAGTGCCTGACGCTGGGGAACCTCTATCGGATAGGGGTTAGGGTTACACACTCTGCACGGTACCCGCCCCTTACTAAGCCTAGCCAAGGTGCGTCCTACATACCACTCTGAGCTGCCCCCTGGGAGGGGTTCCACCTGGACCTGTGGTTGGCCGACCGAATCTCCCGTCACATGCAGCCACAAGACCATTTCAGAATGCGGTGGGATAACTACCGGCGGTTGCCGAGTTAGCTTAGCAGTACCTTCATAGGGGGGAGTAGGGCTTCTTGTGGCAACACGATGGCACTCTGCGAAAGCCTGGTCCCAGACCTTTCCCTCAGTAGGTGGCAGAAGTGTTCTGAACGCTGACAGGCCGGGATGGTTCCCTTGGGTGAGAGCAGACCAGACAGATTGTATGACATTCATCCCCAGTATCCCCTTATCTGGGCCCAAACAGTCATCCTCCACAATTATTACCCCCTTCTCTGCCACATGAATATTCCCCACTACACAGTCAACCATGGCATAGCCAACATATGGTATTGTCAGACCATTAGCAGCTCGCAGTGCTAGCCACGGCACAGTCTTTGCACTCTTTACTCCAGTCCTTTTCAAATGTTTGTCAAACAAGCTTTGACTTAAAAGTGTGACCTGGGACCCTGTATCCAGCACGAAAGGCATGGTTATGCCGTCGAGTTTCACAGCAACGTCTAAACACTCACCGACCAGGGCTGACTTGCAGTTGGAGGTTCGGGGATTGAGTGCTGTGGTCTGCGTTGTGGGCTCTGGTTCTGATAAAATTGCCCCCACTGCTTGGCCCTCAGCTGCAGGGGGAGCTAAAAACCCGAGTTCGGAGGAAACTTGTGTGGGCATCTGCGTTGAAAATGTCCTGGCGTCCCGCAGTGTCGACAGATCGGCCGTCCTTGGTCATCCCACTGGTAGGCACTATGGACTGGCTGCCGAACCCGAGCTGGAGTGCGAATGTCCTGCGGGCGAGTTGGGTGTTTTTGAGTGTCCCAGCGATCGTGTTGACCTGGGGGCGTATCATTCTCGACATGAGGCAAAGTTGGGCTGCGGAGCTGGGCCTTTACTTCTTCCACCAAGTTAGTAGACAAAGCCCTCAGCTGGTCCAAAATTTCCTTTTTTATTTCCCCCATTAGCTCCTCTTTAAGCTCTGCATGCAACTGTCCTTTTAAATCATTGGGGTTAAGGTTAGGCGTTATATTGTGGGTGTGTGTCCGAACCCTCTGAGCCAATATGTCCTCGCCTTCTTCATCCTGTTCTTTTTCTAGGGCCCGGGCCTCTTTACAGGCTTCCGTAAATACCATGGGATCCCGTCTCATTAATCTGTTCAATTCCTGTTTCACTGGCCCTTTTCTTAACCCAGTTGTAAATTGTTCTAAAAGCAACTCATCTCTATCGCCAGTTGCTACATCGTCAATGTTACTCCATTTGCTGAACAGGTCTCTCAGTCTTAGGATGAATGAATTCACATTCTCATCTGCTCGTTGTCGACAATTGTAGAAATTTGTCCTCAATTGTGATTTTGTGGCTGGCTTAGAATAAAGTTTTTGTAAATAGTCCAACATTTTCTTTCCTGTGTTTTTGTCTCTGGGGTCTACCAGCTGTATTTCTTGTTTAGCTTCGCCTTCCAGTGCGGCTAGGACAAAATCAGCTTGTTGTAGATCGCTTAAACCCTGGGCCCTAATCATAGCCTCCACCTGCGCTTTCCATTCAACAAATTTAGCTTTATCGCCATCGAATTTGGGGATGAACGCTGCGCCCATGAACCAGGGCATTGTGAACTGGGCTGTAAGAGCCGTGCTTGTACTAGGCTGTACATTCATCATTCAACAGTGGGGCTGATCCTGTCAGACAACGCCAAATAAAATGTCACAAATGTGAGGTTCTTTGATCAGCTTGATAAAACCCACTGCTGAATGACGACACAGTCTTGATCGGATAAGATTTATTTACAGAGAATAAATAAGGTTAAAAAAAGCCGGGCCTTATGGATTAAAAATCTGTACTAAAAAATCTAAAACCCCAGAGCCTTCGTCTCCCGGATTGTACTGTCCCGGGCCAGCTGTCCTCCCGGTAGTGTGCGTCCGCTCTCCCACGCCTCTGCTCCTGCAGTCCCCAGGCCGCATCTGTGGCCTGTGTCCCGCTGTGGAGAGGACCGGGGATTACACGCTGTCCAACACTGTTTAAAGTGCTCAGATCGCAGTGTGAGGATTCGTATACGTCCCTTTACTTATCTCATTTCCAGCGTTGTATGCCGCCTTGGCTTGCCCGCACCGCTGCTCAAGTCTCTACTCCGCGTCTGCTCCTGTTGACCCCAGTCCGCTGCGCGTCTGTGGCCTGTGTCCAGCTGTGGGGAGGACCAGGGATTACACGCTGTCCAATACTATTTAAAGTGCTCAGATCACAGCGTGAGGATTCGTATACGTCCCTTTACTTATCTCATTTTCAGCGTTGTATGCCGCCTTGGCTCCGCTGGTCCCGCTGCTTTGGCCCACTGCTTAGCCGCTCCAGAAGAGGGAGAAAAGGGGGGGGGGTGTCCAGCCCGACGCGCCGCTCCTTTGCCACTCGTGAGTGTCTGCGCAGCCTCGAACCCGTCCAGTCTCCGTCCGGCGTCTGCTCTGGCTTCGGTTCTCCTGCGCTGCGATCCAAAACGCTCGCTCCTGTAGCTCCTTCCGTGCGCTTCCCCCGAGTCTCCGTTTCTTTCTTTTTCTCTCCTTCTCCCCTCTCTCCCCACCTGTTCCCGTTTTGTCCTCAACCTGGCTGATTACCACCAATGGCATGTGGTGGGGGTGTGGTCCATGGCTTCCTCTCTACATTGTCTTTTAAAGAAAACACTGCAACCCACACTAAAAACAGAACTCAAAACTGCATGCACTATATGTAAGGTCGGAAAACCCATGCCACTGACATGTAGGGTAGGAAAATTGTACTGTGGAGCAGCTAGTCTCCAGGTCGGAGCCTCGCCGTTCCACAGAGAGGGATCTGAATTTATTTTAGGGGCACCAGTAGAATTTGAGTTTCTACACAGATCCAATACTAATCTGCCTCGATCAGTCTCACAATCTGATAGGTTTTGAGTTCGAGATCAGCCAGGGATATCAAAAGATTTATAAAAAGGACACTCTGACGAAGACTAATGTTTATCGTGGGTTTATTGACTACATACGAAAATAGAAAAATATCAACGAGGAGGTATTTGGTCACATTAAGCAGAGATGTTAAACATATCACGTGAATCACACATTAACGTGGCAATTAGAACAGACTTACTTTGACGTAGTCCGTATTGAAGAATCAAAGATGAAGAAAAGGGGGGGGAAGAGGAGTCCACATGTTCCTTTGTTCGTGCAGGGGAGACGAAAGCCAGCAGATCTGATCCAAACTTTAAATCCCCACACACACACACGCTGCCTAGGAAAAGCGTTGCATGTGGAGGCGTCCGTTTGAAGCCGGAAAGGAGGTTGGAGGTAGAGGCCCGGCGTTGTCACAGGCCCAGAGGTCGCGTTGGAGACGCGTACCTGGTTGCTAAGTTAGTTGAAGATGCCAAGAGAAAGTTCTCTGGGTTGCGTGTGCTTTTGTATTCCAGTCAAAGGAGGCGCGTCTATGACGTCATCTTTGTGCGTCTCCCTGGACATCTTTCACAACAGACATGTTATAACGGCATATGCATGATTAATACCGACATTTATAACACATGTACAGACACACAACGCATTTACATTACAGACGATGGTACACACGTGTAGGGCACAGTAAAGGTTATCAGAATAATGATTCCACGGAGCGGTGGTTTCGACTGTCCATATTGGGTGTGCTAGCGTCCCGTGTCCACTGGGAGGCGTCAGAACGCCGTTGGTGGATCGCCAGTCTGCCTGGGAGAGATTAGCCAGACCCGATGTGATCTTTGATCTCGCCAGAGAGGGAGGCGAGGATGTTTGCTTCTAGAGTTAATAATTCGTCCCGGTTCGAAGGTTGGTATCTTTGTGACTAATGATAGTCCTCCATTCGACCTTTTTATGTCTTAGATGTCTGCTCTGGGATGGACATTCCCAAAGTCTTATCTCGGCTGGTTAGTGTTCTGCCCGGGGTCATTCTCTGTCCATGCTCCATACCATGGTCTCTTCTGTCACCCTACACACCCCCCCCCCCACGGCAGAGATGCACCTTCCGACAAGGTGCATGTCATGTCGGAGATGCCGGGCGGGTGTCCTCAGTCGGTCGAGGGCGCTCTTTGTTGGGTCGTGCCCCTTTTGTCATCTTACACGTGTGTGGGTGTCACCGGGTCTCACGCACGTGCACAGAGGGGCTCGGCCGCGCTCTGACCAATCAGAGCAGTTCATTAGAGCGGGAGTTAGAATGAGAGCCAGACGAGCAGAGTTTGTGGCACCAAAGTGTAGATTTAAGGAAAACCGAAGGATTTAAGAAGAAAAAAAGTTCAGGATGACAAGGGACACTAAAATCCCCATCAAATCCGACCTTTATTAAAGCTGTAGGTTCTCTGTCAGCTGAGGTTGAGCTGTTTTAATATGCATTGAGTTCTATGGGGAAAATTTCTGGGTAGCCCACGTGACTTTTGTCTGGTCTGGTCTGCAGTACCGCGAGAATCCCCCGAGCACATGAGTTCTTCAGCTACAAGCTAGTAATACCCTATCCAGTTTATATAATAGATCCATGGAGTTGCCTGAGAAACCAAAGCGGTCCCGTTTACGCTGCTACTTTCTCCTCTTCAGAACAAAAAGAATAGCGAAGCAAGCCGTTTGAGATCATTACATGTGTGTCTACTGTAGGCAATGTGATAGCTCTATGGACTCATTATTTCATAAGTCATTTAACTGTGATGTTGTGAATAAAGACACAGTTCTTGTTGGAAACATATTTATTATTAAATTGTATTCAGCACAAACAGCAAAACAATAAGTGGGAAATATCTGAGACAAACATGAACTATTTACAAGTGCAGGAGGAATGGAACAGACGCGATAAGCTCCAAGTGCAGATTCAAACAAAGACAGGAACATTGCAAGAAACGACTGCACAGTTTATAAGTTATATAAATGTTATTTATACTGTATGTTAGATATGTTATATATAAATTATTCATGTGTTAGATATGCAACAGAACTCAAGTCCACAGTCTCCTGTATATCAGGCTCTGCCACGAGCCCAACTGCTTTTCCTTCGGTTCCCTCGAAGCGCAAAGCAGTCTGCTCCAAAGTGCCTCGTCCATGCTTCCCAGAAAGTAATCACACACGGACCAATCACAGTGGAGCTTTGTAAGGGCCTTGCGGTGATCCACGCGTTGCGCAAGTGACGTCACCACTGAAAGCCCAGCGCCGCGCGACTATACACCAGGCTTCATGGTGAAGACATTCACAAGCACTGCATCCCTGGTTGCAGTGCTTCTGAATGTTTTAATACTGGTTTAAGTCATGTTTTGGTTGTTTTCGAAGGCCTTCGTCTTCCTGTTTTGACCGGCTTGTGTCCCCGTGACCACTTTGCTGCTCTCTGATTGGTTTCCCTGTGTGGAGCGAGGATGTTCAGTGAATCTCATCTCCAGCTTTCGCTGCATGTATATAGCCACCGTATCCACCGCCTCTGCCACGCTGCAATCACGCGTCTGCTGCACGCAACAAAATAAATATTTTATCACCACATTTAGATGGTATTTGATCATTTCTAAAAGGCACACCAAATAACATCTATAATCTGGGGTAGCATGACCTCAGATTATAAATTAACTCATATCTGTGACTAGTGACTAGGCAAAAGGCATTGGTGACATGGTCTTCCTGCAGCACATTGCAGATACCAATTCCTTATTCAGTTTATTATGGGGTAAGGTTACTGTCAATAAAGACGTGCATGTCCAAAAAAAATTCGTGCATATTTATTGGTGTTTGTGCATCATTTTTTTAAATTAATTCATGATTACGATAATACAAACTAAAAAGACATGGAATTTTGTAACTAAGAATAAAAAAATATAAAACTGTATGTGTGATTTCGTCTTTTTTTGTGTGCTTGCATTTTCTTTGAGAATACGAATTTCAGCAGTCAGCAAACTGTCAATATTACGTCACTGCTCACAGACATTAACAATCGAGCCTGCACAGAGTTGATCATGGCAGAGGGCAACAACATTAACAATTTGGCTCAAAATCAGGTAAATAACTATATTTGATCATTTTGGTCGTAAATAAATATGTACGAAATATTAATTCCATAAAATGTGTTCATAAGATGTTTCTTGTCCCTCTCTAGAAACGTTTTTTTAGGCAGTGTTTAGTTAACACTAGCTTCAATGCTAGTTTTACAGCTTACCGTGTTATTTTAAAACCAACATTTTTACATTCTTAGTATCAACACATTAATGTGTTCATACCAGCCCCAACCCTCCAGATTATTCATATTTCGCGCTGTTACTACCCCTGAGCAATATGAAGAACACCTCCGTGCTATACTCATTGGTTGTTAGGGTGCGTACCGATGTTCCCCGGGTCCGATGTTCCCCGGGTCCGATGTTCCCCCACTTCTATAGGCGGGGGAACATCGGACCCGGGGAACATTGGTACTTCGCGTATTAAAAAGTCCCGATGTTCCCCGGGTCCGATGTTCCCCCGCCAATAGAAGTGGGGGAACATCGGGACTTCAACAACGAGACTAGTCCCGCTGTTCCCCGCGTGTGATGTTTGATGTTTCCTCCTCCACGAAAGATGGCATATGATCCGCGCCAACTTTTGTGAGAGAAAAAATACTAACTAGCTTAAGCCTATTTACTTTTCTTTTTCCCTCTCGCTCTTTGTGTGCTCATATTTCAGCTGATCGCAGCTTGAGTCTATGCAGGATATTTTTGGGCATGTTATGGGCATGTTATCTCCCCTTGCTCTCCCATGGGCATCTATATTTGACAAGTCTGACTGAATAAAATGAGGACGATTGAAACTAGAGCTACTACATCTGTTAGCCTATAGTTTTTCCAAATACGTGGTTTTGCTGAGGGCACTGTGCTTTTACGCATAATGGCCACGCATATGACGTCGTTTTTGTTGTAAAACTTGAATATGCTCTTTTAGTTTTAGAGACATTAATACATATTATTCTATTCAGAATGCGTGCGTCATTGTGCATTGTTGTCCCGCCTTACGTGTCACTCACAGTTAAAATGTAAATAACCAATTCAAACATAGCATTTTTACAACTTGAACTTTAAGAAAAAAATGATCAAAGGAATCAGTGTAAAATAAGATCGGAAAAGCTCAATTCATGATTGTTTAATTAGGTTTCCCATTTTTAAATACAATTGGAAACGCTCAGAATTCAAAAATATTGAAAAGTGTATTGGCTCCTACAGTGGGGGGAATAATAATAATAATTATAATAATAATATAACCCCCTGAGTGTCATCACGTTCCTACGTTGCTTCAAATATAGTCCTGTTTATTGGCTGAACAATTTTGTCCAATATCATATCACACAGCGTGAAGCGAGAACAACCAGCTATTCCTCGTCTTAAAGATTGACAACGCTCTCAAAGCATTCACAACAGAGCAGCCTTTTTCATTTTAATTTTAAGAAAGTTCAGCGTGAACTTTGTGAGGAAGAGGAGCCAGAGGCCCGGGCCCGTAGGTCCCAGAGGAGGAGAGCGCGGTCAGGCCAGGCTCGCCTTGCACTGATGAGGTAAACTCTAGGCCTGTGTGAGACACACTGTGGGCCTCACTGTAGGCCTCACTGTGGGCCTCACTGTGGGCCTCACTGTGGGCCTCA